ACAGGGATGGGATTTTCTCTTTATTTTCTTTCAGATTTATGGTGTCTCTACTTTTCCATGACTCCCCGAAGTGTTTCTGTTATAAGTTATTTTTGGCACACAAACTGAAATTTCTGGCTTCACTGCTTGGATTCTGTACTGCTGTTTGTAATAACAAAACTCCTCCTATAAGCTTCATTCTTCGTTTTTGGATTTCATCCAGAGCTTGGATGAAACAAAAGCAAACCAGAAAGTGCCCAAGCAACAGAGCACCACATGTTTCATAGGGTTTTTATAGCAGAGGTCATTAGTGCTTTCATGACTTCATAGTTCTCTTCCACACTGTCCCATCATAAACTGCCTTGGCTAGCTTCAGGGGGACATCAAATCATTCCACTTCTCATATTGTTTCTTTAGTAAATAAAATACAGCTGTTCAGATATTAGGAGTGTGAAAGTCCACAGTGCCCTGCATTCTTCAGATTGGGGTGAATGACCTCCAAAGCCTTATACTGTATGAGAGGGCAGTGGGAGACAGAACTGCTGATGCCTTGCAAAAGAGACCCAGATTGTTCAGGCTGCAGTGAGCAAGGAAAACCTGAGTTGCCAAATTAACTTCTGCTTTTCCAGTTTATTGTCCTCCAAGGGCATACAATTTGCAGCTTCTGTGACAGTTACAGAAAGGAGGAGGAAAATGACTGATCCATTTCCACATTATCTCCACTTTTAAAAAAGCAGCATATTGCTACTAATTTTCAAGCATTAGTACAGTGCTTTTTGAGTAGGGGATGGATCAAAGGCTTTTTTGGAAGACATATGAAAAAGCCTTTAGAATGGCAATTGCTTTTTAAAAAAACTTTTAACACAACCAATTAAACAGTAAAGCGATTTGCGAAGGATATATTTTAAAATCTTAAATTATTTGAGTAGGCAAGAACCACGTTTGTCCCCTATGGCATTAAAATCTTCACATGCAGTAATATTAATAGCACTTGGCCAAATGTTCTGTTTTCTAATCACAACAAGCAAGCAAACTCCATTGCAAATACCTCCAGAGCCACATACGGTATGTGGTAATTTGAAGTATCCATAAAAGGTCAGTACACCCTAGAAGATAGCATACACGACTAATATTTTACAGTTATGTTGTTGTATGCTGATCGCTTGTTTTAAATTATAAGTTGTCCAGAGACAAATAAACCCAGTAATAACAGTGGGAGTTTATAGATTCTGAGAAGCCACCATTTCATCTTAACAAACAATATAAACTGTCCTGAAGGAGGATAGTGCACTTAAAATATTCATTTTTCTCTCTGTGTCTCTCCTATTAGATTGGAAGATCTGCAACTGAAGCTTGAAAGTGATGGCTTGGTAAATGTTTCATTTATGGTGATCAATCACCAGGGACACCATTCCCAACTGAAGTATAACCAGCTAAGAGAGAAGGTTTCGGAGCACATTCCTGTATACCAGCAGGATGCAAAACAACCTGATGTCTGGACTACACTAAGTGGAAAGAAGGATGACTTCCTCATCTATGACAGGTCTGTATATAAAAGAAAAGCTAGGAGATCTAAATGAACCTCATGGGGCAAGGTTTTCCATAGCACTGAGGAGAATATCCCATCCATATCAACCTTATTTCCACCATAAATGGGATACTAGGTTGTAACAAACAGGCACATAGATAGCTGTATGTTAGGGAGAAGAGTTCTAGCAGCTTAGCTGCCCCTTGCACATGCTACATTTTAATATATAGGTATGTGTATTGATTTTGAAAATAAGGAAGCACATTCATTTATGTGAGTCCCCATCTGCAACCCAAACATGGGTTTATTGCCTCGGGACAAACTTTGCTGCTCTTGAAGGTTTTTCTTGGCAGAGAGCTCCCTGTACTCTTGCAGTAGATTTTTTATGGATTATAACAGAACACAGGACATCTAGCACAACAGAAATTCATTTCTCATTTCCAAAAAGCTCCACGTTATGGGTGATAATAAACTTAAGTTTTATTCCAAGTAGATGCATTGAAATTAATGAATATGACTAATAGTTGAATACAGTACCATGAATGTATTTCACATTGATATTAAAACCTGGGTAACTTTCTTTCTAGGTGTGGCCGTCTAGTGTATCATCTTGGTTTGCCTTACTCTTTTCTGAGTTTTCCGTATGTGGAAGAAGCCATTCAGATCACATACTGTGAATCCAAGTGTGGAAACTGCTCTTATCTGGTACTTTTGGGTTTTTTTAAAAAACAATATTCTTTTCCCATTGTGTGTGTGTATGCATTTAACTGAATAAACAGAAACCTAATCAAGCATGTTTTACCAGAGCAGTTTTAGCTTATATTCTGAACGTGATTTTTGAAAATTTTGAAAGGTCTTGGCTGCTATGGGCTTAATTTGTGGTGGAAACCTGCTGTAATGCATACATCCGATGTACTCCCACACCATTGGATTCTAACTTACATATAACCTACTGCTGAACCATTGTGCAGGCACGTCTTGACAAACTTTGTACCAGAAAGCACTTTGTGGCTCCTTCTCTGGAGCTAAGTATGGGAGCCCTCCTGAAACCCATTTGGAAGCTCATTGGAAAGCCAGGATAACTGAATAAATAAATAAAATGAGTGGGTTGTAGCCAATGAAATCCTACTCACAGTAGACTCACTTACGGTAAATTAATGAACCTAAGTTAGTCCTGTCCATTGACTTCAGTTTGTCTACTCATACTAGGGCTAGCATGGGGTACAACCCTTTGGCTCTACAGCCATCATGCAAATAGAAAGTCTCATCTTCTTAATGCCTCCCGCATGATACCAAAGAGCTGAAACGTGCATTTTCTTAACGAGTTTCGTGTTGATCATAGTATCGTGAAATTTTACAAGTTACTATGGAGAGAGAAAATTGTTAAATGCTTTACCACCATTCAATATAAGGTTGTAATTTTACACAGCAGGTATATAAGAATCGGCTAATATTTTGCATATGTATTTAAAGAGCCACATACGTGTCTACTGAAACAGGGTGCATTTATGTTGTCTGCACTTTTTCCTTCCAGACACCAGAGATTGAAGAAATATGCAGGAACATTTCAAAAAAGCCAGATGAAAAGCCAGAAGAGGCAGAACCTCCTCCCTCTCAGCACGACCAGTCACCTCCCCTTGGCCATCAAGGCCAGAAACCCCATCACCGTAGACATGGGCATCGGCAGAACAACCGGCACCATCAAAATAGAGGTGGTCAGGCAGGTAGTGAGGATGTTGTAGAAGCTGCCTCACAGCAACCAGCTGTGGAGGACCCCCCCAGAGAAAGAGGCTTTGACGAAAGGGGAATGCTATTTGCCAGAGGCAGTTGAGCTGAAAGTGGCAGGAGCTGACAAGGCCCACTACAGGTAACTGATGTTGACATTGTCGGCATTTGCTGTTTGAAGATCTAAGTAGCATAGCCTCCTGACACTGTCGTGGTGAGCTCCCATCTTCCTGCAGGTGACGTGGGCAGCTGTTGGCAGAGAATGTCACTGAGTCTTGCCAGTGACGACTGCCAACGGCTGCTTGACAGCCAGCAGCAGCAGGTGAGCTTGCAGCTTCAGATGCCTGACAGTGAGTAGAAAGGGCAGAAAACTGAGCCTGAAAAACAAACTAAGCATCTTAAGACACTAGGGAAGAGTCCTTCAATGTAGAATGCATTCATTGATAATGCAGGCATTGGTATCATCAGATTTTTCCAAGTTGATTAGAAGCACTTATTGGCAAGAGCCAAAGAGAGTTAAAATACATTGAGTGACTATTACATCAGTGAGCTTCCCATCTGGTACCGTTACGTGAATGTCTGAAAGAAAGCAACTTACGCAGCTCAGTCCACGAACCAATTAAGCCGGAGTACTTGAGTTTCATGTTTTGCAACTGTAGTTGAGTGCTATTGCTTAATTGGCTTTGTACTGAGTTGTTTGGGTAAGCTGATTTGCCTTTAAAAAACAACAATGACATTCTCGTAATGGTACAGATTTTTGTTTTTCTGTGCCCATTTAAAGTGTTTGCTACATTTAGTTACCTCATCTTTCTGGTTTCCTCTTCTACCATTCTGTTTGCATTTGTGAAGACAGAAGCATAAACTATAACCTAGGGGCTTCTGTTTGATGTATAGCAACCAAGAACAGGGGAGGAGAATAAAGATGTGTTAACTACTTAAAAACAACTCTGGGGTTTTTTGAAAACCAAGTAAATATATAAAAATGTGAATTTCCCCCCACTAAAACTTTAGAGCCACTTAATGACCAAACCGTATTGTAGAAGTTGATGTACTTTAAAAATTTGTGTGTGATGGCTAATATTCCAAACAAAGGGATTTGCCAGAATTTCTAACACCCAAGTAATAGATTTTGGACAGGCACATTTAAGATCCTGTGGCAAGAAGACTAGAATAGACCATGATTTTTTGTGTTTTTGTAAAAGTCTCACCAAAGCTAAGTATCACAGCTATTATGCATTTGGGGTGCAAGGTGAAGCTGTGATAGAATGAAACATGGAACAGGGTCAAAAACATCTGTTGATCAGATTTAAGTCTTGATCAATCTATCTCACAATTCCTGTTGGTTTGTCATTCTTGGACTGGTTTTGGTTACTTTTATAACAGATTAATGAAGCTTGTATGTTTCTCTTTAGCTAAATAGTATGTCTCATTGTTAACACCTTGTCTATCTGAAATGAATTTTTGAGTGTTTGTATGTGGAGGATTTAGGCATGAAAGAAAATGTTCAACACAGAAACTGCTTAGATGGTGCTTGCTGTAGTTCATGATGGTTTCATAGGGAAAGTCACTGCCCTACAAACTTGAATTTTTTTATGGTGAACACTTGTTAAGCATGAAAGTAGTTAAGAATATAACTGGAAAGCATGTTTTGTTGACGATGGATAAGAGAACTTTTAATAAACCAAAACAAGCAATTAACCTCTTGTGATACTTGTCAGTTACACTTCCTAAACAGGCAACTTGTGTTTTCATGTAATTCTCAAAACTGTCAACATTTGAAATGGACACCTTCACCTTTGCCAAGCCTCTGTTCCAAGTTTCTGATGGTATTACGGAGAACTTCAATTTCCTTATTCTTCTCTTCTTGAAGATGCTGAAGCTTCTGCAAAGATTAAAGCAAATGCTTTATTTCCCATTAGAACTTGGTTCCAAGATAGTGTATATAAACAAAGGTGTCATTGCTTTTGAAAAAAATCTACAAATACTTTTCAAAAGTTTGTATGTATTATATGACATCCAGGCACTGAGTCAGCTTGGTGGTCCCACTGGAAGTTAGAGCACTTAATTAACTCCATAATTTTTGCCTAAAACATAGCACAAACAATGAGGACGAGACCTATGATAAGCACCTCCTGGTGCTCAAAAGTTGCTACATTTCTTTCTGTACCCATCTTGCCACTTCTATTCTACAGCCAAAGGAATTTTAAAAGCTTCATTTAATAATTCTGCAAAGCCTGAAATTAAAAATACCACAACCAGGGTACATTAATTATTGCATATTTTTCAGTGTTACAGAAATGGGTGGGAGTTGCAGACAATGTCACCCTGATGCATGTGTACACAGTGCTTACGTGTCATTAAAAATGGGGGAGTGCATATAGATCAGGCCAGTCTTAAAAATGAACAGAGAAGCCATTTTAGATAGGGGATTTCCCCAATGGTTGGCACTTAGAGGAATAGGAGAACTGGGCCCAATGAGTTACACTTTCAGAGATATTAATATATAGGGATGAGGGCAAGACACAACATTTAAAGTCAAATCTCATTGTCAGAAATACTGTGCGCCATCCAATATTCTAATATTAAGATATTAGAAAGTGCTGGAAAACATACCCTTCTGTAAATGTTTTGAGGCAGTGAAGTGGGATTTGGATAGGACTTGGGCATTTTGGTCTGAAGCTTTACCAATTCAGCATTGAACTGAAACAAAACCACATGTTAGTATGTTGATAATGAGGGATGAGGAAAAACCTATACAAATAATTCTACTTTAACCATTCTTGAGCCAGTGTGGTATACTGGACTAGGATGGATGAACTCCAGGTTTAATCCCCACTTAGCCATGAGGCTCAGTGGGTTACCTTGGGCCAAGCACCCCCATGGGCCTAATCTACCTAAGAGGGTTGTTTGGAAAACTGTGTACAGTTTTGTTCACCATAATGCAAGGAGGATACCGTAGAGCTAGAAATGGGTGACGAAAACAACCACAGGGCTGGAGAAACTTGCAGGAGAAAAGGCTACCTGGAGCTATTGGACTTTGGGGGGGGGGGGTGGCTTCCAAAGGGACAAGAGAGAGGTGCATAAATTATGCATGGTGTTGAGAAGATTGAGTATTACACAGTGCATAGTTAAATTCTGGACGTTGTTACCATGAGAGATCATAAAGGCTACCAACTTGGATGGCTTTAAAGGGAATTAAACTCATGGAGGATAAAGCCAGGAATCGATACTAACCATGATGGCTGTACTACCTACATATCTGAGATGGTGCATCTCAGCACCCAACTTGCTAGGGGACAGGAGTGGGAGAGCATTGCTATACTCCAATCCTGCTTGTGGACATCCCATAGGCATGTGGTTGGCCCCTGTAGGATCAGAATGCTGGACTAGATAGACTTTTGGTTTAATCAAGCCGGGTACTTCTTATGTTGTTAAATGTAATATAAATTTATTTGATGGGCCATGCCTGTTTTGAAGTTTATAATTAAAATCATAGGCGGCAGCGGGGAAATTTGAAACCATGTGACAAAAGAGGGCAAGGTAGATATTAAAACATTCAAAGTATGAATACATTTTCAGTGCTGCTAGGAGCAAAAAAACCCAAAACACCTCAAAATATTTTTCTTGCTCCCACTACTTTTTCATAAATATAACAAGGAAACAAAAAATGTAAGCAACATAATTCTAATAACTCAATCTGAAACTCATTTATTTAGATTACATCTAATTAATTTCAGTGGAAATTATTCTCAATTATAGCAGAATAACAACCTGCTATAAGGCTCCTATCATTGTAAAACAACAAGCCAGGCTCTTCCTAAAAAGTTATACTTCCTATTCACAAGTTACGACTTGTATTTGCATATACGTCTTTATAAAACAGACCCAATCTTTTAACTTCTGGCTTCTATCTTGAGTTTCTAGTGCATACTGTACCTCTATTTGCAATTTGATTATCTCATCCTGTTTTTCTTTTTCTTGTGCTCTGAGTTGTTTAGTTAATTCTAAAATCTCCATATCTTTTTTCTCTATTAGTAGCTTGTGCTCTTCCTCCATGGCTTCAACTTGAACAAAATTAAAATAATGTAAAAAATCATTACATTTAATCAAATGGCTTTAAGGTGATGAGAAGCTGTACGTTTGAAAATGTTACTCAAAATATTTGCAAGAAAAGCTGGGATAATAAATAAGAAACTTTTTAATTTTAGATACAAAAAAAACACCCCAATATGTAAACATTATTTTAAAAAAACCTTGGAGGAGCAGATTCATCAAAGATGATGCCGGTTAATGCACAACAATTTTAGGGGATCTAGATAAGCTGGAATTTATCTGCCATAGTTAATTCCGAGACTACTGTTCATTAGTGAAAAAGAACTACCGTATGTAGTACCAAATATTTTGCTTTAAAGTATGAGAAATCTCAGCATCACTCACATATAGTGTACACAATTTATGCTTACATTTTTTATTCATGTCATACTGCAGCTTCCATTGTTCAAGCTTGTGTTCCTCCTCCTTCTTTTCAATTTCTCTCATGAGTCTATCAACCATATTTTTATGTTCCTATACAGTAAATTGATTTAAGCAATCTTTTAACACAAAACACCCAATAGCCAAATTCTCAGGGTAGTTTAAAATAACAATACAATTAAAATCACGAGACTATATAATGTATAAAGCTTTCCAGCAGCAGAGATTATAAAACAATAAGCAACTGATCTGTCTAAACAGACTTCAGTTGCCACAGAATTCATTGACTCCTCTTTTTGACATGTATTTGAACTACCAACACTCCTTTCAAAATTAAATTTGGAAGTAATGAATTCATTCAGAGGCCAGAGAATCCAAGGTCTGATTCCATTTATAGAACAGGAATAATGCAGCCTCTCCCATCACCTAGATTACAGTGACAATCTTTTTAAAAAACCAGTCCTCTTTAGCTCAATAAGTCTTACTTTAGCTGCAACAACTGGATTTAAGTTAATTTAACCCCCAGATTATGGGGCCAATTCACACACCACAAAGCTTGTTTGCTTTCCCACTCCTTCCGGAAAAATAACTATACTTGCCCAACTACCAGTGCCTGTGGGATTGCAGAACAGGAGGAAGGCACACTATGGTCTCATTCACTATGGTTAATCCATGCATTGGCTAGAGGGCTGCTGGGAGATTGTTGGTTGGACTTGTACCTCCCAGGAACATCATGCCAAGGTTGAAGATCAGCCTGGACCTATCCACTGGCCAGAGAGGAGTAGCCAAAGAGGAGTTTACTCTGGGCTCTCAGCTGAAAAAACACTTGATTCCAACTACCAGTTGCCTTCAGATTGCAGAAGTGAAGGAATCATAACAGCCTGAGGAAATGAGGCTGCTGGATCGGTTGCAGCACCTCTATCCAAGCAAGATCACCAGCAAGGGAAGATCTATGGGATAACGAGCGTCATATAACCAGCATTCCTAAGTATAATTAATGCACGAAGGTGTTAATACCATTGAGTAAGTTGTCCCATCAGGCTTAGCTATGTCACTTCCCCTTACCTTGGGAGAATATAGGTAACCAAGCCTTTGTTACCACCCAGTCTACCTGTGAACTTGATGCGTGAGGAAGTCTGAGGTGGTTGCTCCAATTCAGCTGCATGGCTTTCACAAGCCTCTCTTGTGTTCCTTTACCAACCGTTGGGGAACTTCTACCATTTTGTAACTAAGCCATGTTTTATTGCCTGTGCAACTTTTCTGACTGATTGCAGCCTTACTCCAGTTGTCAGTGGAACAAAATTACTTTGGCTGAACTTGTTTGCAGCTTACAACTTTAAATGAAACTTGAAAAAAGACTTAGAAAATGTAAAACTGCTATATGCCACATCAGACTACTAGACAAACTCCTTGGTCAGGTGTCTTTCCAAGCCCTTTTAATAGGGGATGAACCTGGGTTTGCATTCAAAAGCTGTGGTCCTTCCTTTCCAAAATGAAGGAGATTACACACTTGCAATTTATTGTTGCTATGCAGGATTATACGTATTGAAACGGTTGTGACTTCCACCATGATTGTATAATGCCACACGGAATGAAGCAGTTAATATATTACCCTGCTCTTTTGGATAGATACATGGGAACAAGTGTTTGTGATGTCAGAAGATGAGCCAGAAACAAATTAAGACCAAGTATTTGAAACCAACACTCTAATCTGATTATTGTCAAGTAGCTCATAACAATGAAGATGACAATGCCGATATAAGGGGAAAAAATCAAAATGAGAAATTGTCAAAAGACAACTCCTCTCTCTAGAAAGTAGGTTGATTCTCCATACAGTCTTCCATAGAAAGAAACCTAAGGTTTTGAAGATAGATGCTCTCACCTGTTCTTGGGATTTTAGTTTCTCTTCTAAATTATGAGCTGTGTTCTTCAGTCTCTCACTTTCATCTGTGTAAGGGAATTGTTGACAGTCAGACTGGAAGAATAATTTTGTACATGTTCTGTACGAAGAAAGAAAGAAAGAAAGAAAGAAAGAAAGAAAGAAAGAAAGAGAGAGAGAGAGGGAGGCGTATATGGACTGAATAACAGCCCTTGACATCTTGAATGCTCGCTAGAGCGTATATGCATTGGGCCTTAAAAAAGTTAAGATAACGTCCCCTTCTTATTCTATTGTTGGATGATCAATTTAGGAATTTTGTATGGTATATATTTTTTTCTTTGGCTTTTTATTGATTTTACCAGATTGCATTTTATCTTGTTAAGTTGCTTTGAAACTTTCTTTGATATAAAGCAACTAACAGACTGAATAACTAAATAAATGTCTATGCAAGTAAGCAAAAGAGGTAAGGAGTGGGAGAGTCAGGAACTTTATGAACTCCTTGTCATTTTCCAGACCTATGTACTCACCAGCATTGTGCTGGATTATCTCCCCAACCACCCAGGTGACTATGCCAGCAAAAAAATGGATAATGACATGAAAATAACCTTGTGCAACATCTGCCAATGACGCACAAGCAGAGGTTATCAACCAAAGCAGCATCCTATGCCAGACACACAAGATGGAGCTGTATGCAACTTGTATTGAAGAAGTTTAATAGAGATGCCTAAATACAACTACTTTTGCTGATGCATATCTATATGCATACTGTAGTCAACCCTTTGGAAGCTCTATTCCAAATACTGTGTTCTAGTCCACACAAGAGCAGTCTCTAAACACATTAAGAACAACATCAACACTGCAGCTTGCTTTTTTTTACCTCTCAAATTATACTGGTTTTCTATAGTTTGTTGGAGACCTTTAATCACATTTTGGAGTGTAGCACATTCTTTTAAAAAGAAAAAAAGAGAAATTGGTACACTTGAATTACTGCAATAATGTAACAATTATTAAACTGCATCATAACATTCAAAGCTATCTTAAGGTAAAGGTACCCCTGACCATTAGGTCCAGTCGTGGATGACTCTGGGGTTGCGGCGCTCATCTTGGTACCTATTTATCTACTTGTACTGGTATGCTTTTGAACTACTAGGTGGGCAGGGGCTGGGACCGAACAACAGGAGCTCACCCTGATTCAAACCACTAACTTTCGATCGACAAGCCCTAGGCTCAGTGGTTTAGACCACAGCGCCACCCACAAAGTTATCTTAGTCATCAGCAATACATATTTCCTTGTTCTGGTGTAATGAAGAAAAAATTATACAGGATGCTGTCTTTCTAAATCATGCATCTTCTTTGTAGACATCATTGAAATTTTACAAGTTTGCCCGCTATTTAAGAATCAGCAAAATAATTGCATTTAAAGAGGTGTTCTCAAGTTTCATAGGGCTTCTTGCAGTTTCAAGAAGTGAACACAAGAGGGACCTCTGGCATCCCCATATCTTTCATGGCTTCTATACTTATAAAAATACAAAGCACTGCTTTATATTGAAATGCATGTACAGAGGAACATCTCAAAGTAGCATTATAGACTCATTCTCTTTCCTTTTCCCTTACTTACCACATAACAATGTATGCGACAACTCATATTAAAGTGATATCTTTTCTGTACCTCATAGGAAAAGCTCCAGTGGCCCTGCTCTTCCTAATCCCACCCCCTGTAAAATTGTCTAGATGAGAACAGCCAATGCCTTTGCACCAGTTCTAGTTTCCAAACCATTTCCCAGATGGAACATATTGGAAAAACACACCTTGGAAATTATTAACTGATTTTGATTCCTTGTTTTGACTTTTTTATTTTAAAATAGAGCACCCCATTGCCAACTTGCCCTCAGGATTGTGGGTGCCTGCCTCCGCAATGCAGAAGTGTGACGTTCCACAGTGGCGTAGCGTGGGGGGTGCAGGGGGGCCGGCCGCACGCGCAACATGTAGGGCAAATCCATAGCGCAACAATGGCCTGAATCACTGTTAGTGGCGTTTGATTGTCAAGACGCACTTGACATCCCATGCACATGCCTGAGCGTAGTGCGTTTGATGTCACACGCACTATGTACAGACATGTGTGTGTGACATTACATGTCCGCATTGCAGTGGCTGGTGGCAGCGGCTCCTCTTCCTCCTTCTCTCCGCAGCCAGCGGGGCACCCTTTTCCAGGAGGAGGGACTCAGACACCAAGACAGACAGAGAGACCCTGCCTCAGCATCCAGAACCCCTCCACCTGCCAGCTTTTCTCATTGACTTTGTGGGTGCCCGGCCCCACAATTATGGCTGATGTAGTGCACACATGCATTACATTAAAAGCATTCTGCCTTCATTGCTATTGTTTTATTAACACAGAGACTTAATGGGATAAGAAATTTTAGTTGATTTTTAAAAAGATCAATTAATCATGTGATAGCATTACTTTAGGAAGACTATCTAGCACTTTTCACCATCAAAATCATCTTGCTAATGTCTGCTCATTCCCAGTTCCTGCCAACCTAGCAGTTCAAAAGCACGTCGAAGTGCAGGTAGATAAATAGATACCACTCCAGTGGGAAGGTAAACAGCGTTTCCGTGCGCTGCTCTGATTTTGCCAAAAGCAGCTTAGTCATGCTGGCCACATGACCCGGAAAAACGTTGGCTCCCTCGGCCAGTAAAGTGAGATGAGAGCTGCAAGCCCAGAGTTGTTCGCGACTGGATTTAACTGTCAGGGGTCCTTTACCTTTATTGGTTTTTTATTTTTTCCATAACAATACAATTAACAAAAACAATAAAGTCAAAGGAAAACATGTCAGGATAGAATGCCAATTCACAATACCATTTTGCAAAATAAGGCACATATTTTGGTCTTAAATCTGGAATGCATCAAATGTAGAGCAACAAAGACAGGAAGCACTGTTCCATAATCAGATACTTACCTTATGTTAATATCCTATTTCAAACTTTTAATATTTTTTTTAAATGCTAACTAGCCCTGGAACAAGGGCAGGCAAAGCCACGGTAGAATTTGGAGGCTGATGGGCAAAGCTGGAGGATCAAGTGTATAATGGGCAGAACTTTTTGAAATATGGAGCTTATTACCCAGGGACTCCTCAGACCTACAGCAGCCCTAATTTATGGAGAAGATTGCATTAATATCTGCATTGCTTGCTTCCATCACATTATTTAATGGAGGACTCCAGTGAGTTGCTAGTCCCTGTCTAAATCAGGAATGTAAAAAACCAGGCCAATGCTTAATAAGTCAAAAGCTGTCATTGTGTTTTTATATCATTCCCTTTCTTCACAAGAAAAGCCGTTGTATTAGCAGAAGTTGGAATGGTTGGTCAAATATATCATTTGCCATGTCAAAATATCTATGATTAAAGGCAGTTTCCCCCCAGTCTGCTCTAGCATTTGAAGCATGCTTCATAAGCTGTAAATTGTTCCATGCCCACCCCCACATTACAGTCCTCAGCTCATCTGCAGATTTGCAGATCACTAAGATCAGACACACCGAAAGAACATTTATTTTACAAAAGATATAATCCAGACATAGCCCTTCACAGAAAAATATAATCGATTTTAAGCATTCATCCTAAAATGCTTCACACTTTTAGTACTTTTTACATTGTGAAATGAATTCTTGCAGTAAAGACAGGCGACCCATTATTCTTGTGATATATTACACAAGACCTGCTATTCTATGCACACTTACCTAGGAGGTATAAGTCCCATTTAACTCACTGGGCTTACTTACAAGAAAACCTGCAAAAGTTTGGACAGAAGAGCAGAACAAGAAAAAAAAGCTCCTCACAGGTTATCGACTTATCTACACCATCATGAATGAATATGTTTGAGGTCATAAACTGCTTTTCAATAGAAAAGAGGCTTTATTCTTAGAAGAAACGTCTCCACAACTGCTAAGTTACAGTTTTACTTCTATAGACTTTTTTTTTTACCTACCATAGTATATAAATTAATTTTCACCTTTGTTAATATTAAAACTTCCTAGTGTTTCACCTAAGGATGCTAATAGACTTGGACAGCACTCAGTTTTCATATATCCAGATACGTAGAATCTATTTTTCTTCCTAGCAGACATGTTGTAGGTACCAACATGATACCTGCACAGCACTTTAAAGAGTCTCATTTGAGTGTCAGCTGCCTCAGACCCTCCAGGTGTCCGCATTTTCCAGGGACCTCCCTGATTTAGATAAGCCATCCCAGTTTCTGATTTGATCCCGGAATGTCCCATTTTTCCTTAGGATGCCCGTATTTTCATTGGAGAAATATTGGAGGGTATAGAGTTATCCAGCCCCTGAGCCATCTGAAGGTAATCTTGTATAGGAAAGGTTTTTTTTTAATGTTTAATGTTTTATTATGTTTTTATATATGTTGGAAGCTGCCCAGAGTGTCTGGGGCAATCAAGTAAGATGTGTGGGGTAGAAATAGTAAAATTATCATTATGGAATGGGACGGCCCTATTTTCATTGGAGAAATGTTGGAGGGTATGCTGCCTTCTCCCACATTCTATTTTAAGACTTTGACCAGATGCAGACTCACGGCATTATCATCAGCCACATCTTTTGCCCATCCCCTTTTTTTTACTGTCTAACCTGATGAAGTGTTCTGGAGAGCTTGGTTATCTTAAATACCTAATAAACTTTGAGAGATAACCAGGTTAGTCTGCTGCAGCAGAATCAACATAAAGCCATGTAGCACTGTAGAGGCTAACAAATTTATTATGGAATAAACTTTAATGGGCACAAGTCCACCTCATCAAATCCGTGGTTATAAAAACAATGCCAAGGAATGCTTACCTTCTCTAGCTGACTCTTCCTTCATTTGGCTTGCTGTCAGTAACTTGTTTGTTTCATCTAACTGAAGACTAAGAATATTATTTTTTCCATGAAGCCCTGATATTTTCTGTAAGAAAAGTTGAGAATTCAGAATTTAACAAATTGTTTAACATTACCCTCCCATCTTCACAGTTGCTCTAGGGCCCGGGCAATAAAGTCTAGCCATGTGCTGTTTAGGCAACAATTAATTAGAGACCTGAGAGCATTAACCACAAAAAGTTACCTCAGAGCAATTATGGAAAGGTTTCATAGAACCTACAGCTGTGTTTTGGGTGATGTCTGAATTCATCTGCTGACTTTTGTACTTCACTCTTTTTTTAAAGCTGTCTTTCATTTTGCAATGATTTCTTGTATTATTTATTTATTTCATTTATAAACCACTTCCCATGAGGCATCATAAAGCGATTCACAATACATATACATAGATGTATATGTATATGTGTGGTGTGGTATGTGTGTGTATAACAACTGCATACATAAAACAATTAAACACACACACACACACAGTGCTTTTTTCTAAAAAAATGTTTAGGGGTCCTCTCATTTTGACTTAAGAAAACCACCATTTTATAGTTCAAATCAGGAAAAATAAATACAGTAAATGGACAAAAGTACAAAGATTCACAAAATGTTTAGGGGTATGCGTACCCCTGCGTTCCCCCAGAAAAAAAGCACTCGTGTGTGTGTGTGTGTGTGTGTGTACACATTGGCATAACAATTAAAGGATCTATACTCTTCTTACCTTTTCTATATTTAAAAAGCCCTCTAAAAGTGCATCAAGATTCACCACACTGATTTTCTTCATGACTGCTTAGCTGCACAATTGCCCGGCTGTCTCCTGTGTAATATACAGTGTATTTAAAGAGAAGAAAACAACAACAGATAGCAAAAACTTCTGAGCAAACATTTACAGGATTGCATTTGCTGCATTGTAAGCCCTTCCCAGCTATGAACTCATTGGATGGCACAGGAACATAGGAAGCTATCTTAGATCAAGTCAGACCATTGGTCCACCTATCTCAGTAATGTTTACTGACTAGTTTACTGACTAGGGAGCGACATTGACAGCTCTGCCTGAGGAGGCCTGGGAAACTGAACCCGGGGCTTTCTGCATGCAAAGCAGATGTACTACTGAGCTATGTTCCCTCCCTTGTCAAATCACACTATTTTATATCAACCGTATCATACAACAGAGATGGGGAATCTCAGGTTTGGGGGCCAATTGGGGCTATTCAGGCCTCTCTGTTTGGCCCTTGGAACTCTCCCTAGCCCAGCTCTTCACTGGCCCTTCTTTACAAGCTCCTTAAGTGCTTTTGCCTGAGTGTCCTTGAACTCTGATAATGCTTCTTGCTTGCCTGGCTAGAGAGGGGTTTGTGAGTGTGTGGAAACTAGCCTATACAAAGGGAAAATTTATATTAAATGTTCTGCCCTCTTAACCAGCTCATGACTGACATGTAGCCCTCTGAAGGTTGCCCAGATGTGAGTTCAGCCTCCACACTGAAGAAGATTCTCTACTCCATTCATACAATAATAATGATGTGCCCTAGCTAAAAAATAGGTGATTGCTTCATGATGATTTGATAGAAGATATGATAGCCTTCTTCCAATATCTAAAGAGCTGTCACATGGAAGATAGAGCAAGCTAGTTTTCTCCTGCTCTGGAGGGTAGGACTCAAACCGGTGGCTTAAAGTTACAAGAAAGGAGATTCCAACCAAACATCAGGAATAACTATCTGATGATAAGAACGGAGGGATGGGAACAAACAGCTCCTCAAGTTTGCTTTCTGCGAGGTCCGTTTCTGAGTGAGGTTGTTAGGATGCCGCAGAAGTTGATTCCCCAAATCCGGAAAATGCGTTTACTTATTAACATTTTCCTGCACCTTATAAATTATGCTCAGAGAGGCCAGAAGTACTTAACAGCCCCTTTATAACATGGTGACCCTGTAAAATGGTGGGGGCTGCCTTCTGGGGTCCCTAAACTCTGCTAAGCCCCGTGTGATTCAGAGCGCCCCCCCTCACAATGACCATAAATTCCCAGTTCAACCATAGGGTAAGGTTGATTTGATTCCCTGCCCCTTTTCTGGATGCAGATCTCCACTCCCTGCTTCTTGCCTGGCGGGGTGTGTGTGCGCCATTTTGTAGTTTACCTCAGGTGCCAAAATGTCTTGGGCCAGCCCTGACAGCAGGGTTTTCTGGAGTATGAAAAGTATAAAGTGCTATACAGTGGTACCTCGGGTTAAGTACTTAATTCGTTCTGGAGGTCTGTTCTTAACCTGAAACTGTTCTTAACCTGAAGCACCACTTTAGCTAATGGGGCCTCCTGCTGCCGCCGCGCCGCTGGAGCATGATTTCTGTTTTCATCCTGAAGCAAAGTTCTTAACCCGAGGTACTATTTCTGGGTTAGAGGAGTCTGTAACCTGAAGCGTATGTAACCTGAAGCGTATGTAACCCGAGGTACCACTGTAATCTATAGTAGCAAAACAAGGCAGAGCCCTGTGATTTGTTATTTATTGTGGCATCCAGCTTTCATGGCCAAAAATAATCTTGATACACAACAAGTGTATTAGTCTTTACGGGAACCAGAGAACTGTGATTCTTTTGCAGAATCTTGTTATTTACTATTATATTTTTCTACATGGCATTGCAGTTTACAAAACACCCTGTAATTCTTGTCTCACTTAAATGCCTTGTTATCTTCATGGCGGCAGCAAACACTTCAACACCAGCCAAAGCTGCCCCAAGGGAAGCCAAAGATATTCCCTGCCAGGCTGATTACTAGCATTTGTAGATTTTCTTCTTAAAATTTTTGTCTAGATGCATAAGGCAATTCTTTCTGGAATGAACTATCCCTCCAGAGTAACAGCAAGGTTACTGGACCAGTTTTATATACTCAAAATCCTAAATAGGAACAAAACAAATAAGCAAAACCTTCATCACTGGTCAGTCACTAGGAATGCCTGTTCATCCTCCCACTAAAAGCACGGCTCAGTTTAACCAAGGAACAATAAGATGGATGCATTAATTTTATGAGAAAGGACCATCATGCATTGTGAGTGAGGCTGACAAATTTTGAAGTGGTTCTTTTAGAAACAGGTTGTTTGGACTTGCTTGTGTCAATGAGCTGGTGATCATGTTTAGCCATAGTCATCCAGAAAGGTGACCTTAGCCTAATCTCTATTTTCTTAACCTACCTCACAAAGTTGTGAGGTAAGAACCATGTACACCACAACTTGGGGGTATTTTTGGAGGAAAGGTGGTACTTAAAAAAAGAAAGGAAGAAATGGATGCTTTACCACCACCATATTTCTATATATCGAAAGTGTCTTAAAAGGCAGAAGAGCATGCTGGCCTGGTGTTTTCCTGCTCAGCTGGCAATATTCAAAAGGATATACTCATTCAGAATACATTTCGGAGTCAGTGAATGTGTTAGTATTGAGTGACAAATTGTATAGGAAACAGGGAGGAAACACATTGACTGAGGACTCAGAGACACAAGTTTGAGGGGAGGCTGGTGTTTGGGCCATGAGGAACTTCGGCATCCTGAAGTGACTTGTCGGAAATAGGAAGCAGAGTTGGCTCGAAAACTAGAGCAAAACTAAGCCACTACCTATAATTTTTTTTCCCCCGAGACAGGTTCCCCTTTACAAAGAGAATTCCCATGAAACTGCTTCTGAGAACGTTTTCCTCAGAGTGACAGTTGCTTCCCTCTCAACAGAAAACCCACATATCTTGCTGCCCAGAAAAGGCGGGAAAAGTCTCTGCCTCAGGAACCAACGGATGGAGCATACCACTCATGGCTTAAATGGAACGAGAGGGGTGTTTCCCCTGTGCTAGCCTGATAATAGGTTCATCCACGCACTCCAAGTGGTTAGGGAAGGAATATGGACACCCCCCCCCGCCCGGGTTTTGAGCTGCGCCCGAAAGAAACTTACCTGCACTTTTCTAGAAGAGAGCTGCCTGCACACCATACATTTAAAGCACATGCTGTTCCTAAGAATTCTGGGAACTGTAGTTTGTCCCCATAGAGCTATAGTTCCCAGCACCCAGTTCCCATGATAGATTTTTGTTGTTGATGTTCAGAACCCATTTCTTTGCATAGATCTTGTTTTTAAGACAGTACTGGTTCGGATAAAATTCATAACGTTGTTAATTTCCACACATATTTCTAGAACGGAACGCAGTACCTTGCGCATGTGTTTGGAAGCTAGCACTTCTCCATGGAGAAAGCGAATTATCAAAGCTGCATTTGAAAGGGAACCCTTAAAGTAAGGTTTTGAAAAGGTCGAGGGGTGCACTGGCACTGCAAAGGATTGGATCCTCCCTCTGAACAGCTGTTAAGCAAGAGAATCTAATCTTGTGTGGCACCACTTGCTGTTCCTTTGCAAGTGCCTTCCTTACTGGCAACGGAAGCCTTGTTTTCTAAAACGGTCAATAATGTCATTTTATAATTGAGTCTGTATATGCATGTTCACAAGCGGCAAACTCCACAACCCCAACAGTTTGTTTTCCAAGCTCAGGGAACACTAATTATGCGCATTAGAACACCTGCTTGCAAGCTTAAGCAAGTGACTGCATATTTTAATGTTTGCAAATGCTAAATGGCACCTTTCAAGGTTGCTTAATCGAACAAATTGCAGGGAACCAGCTTAATTGTTGCTAGCCAGAGATTCTAGGGACAAAAAAAAAGAAAAAAAAAAAGCAAACACATTTATTATTCTGCTTGTGTTGTGGACATAACTTTATTTTGGCCTTTGTTGTCAGAAACTGTCAGCCAATGACCCTGTAAAATGGCAGGCCAAGTAATTGGGAGTTAAGTCCAGCAGTGGGAAGGCTTCCAGGATGCTGTTTAGAGCACACCATCAAACTAGTATATCACATATAAAATTAAAGGAACGTTTAGCCACCCTCTTCTCATACAAAAGATCACTGACCATGGGGAGGCTCAGATGACCCTCATAGATGGGGAAGCCTGTGTGATAAGTCTTCTAGATTTAGGGTGGCCAGTTAGACATTGTCCCCAAAGAAACTTTGCATCTCCCCCCGAAATGCCATCCAATTTGTATATGGTGATTTACATGCAAAGACACAAATCTGTAAATAATTTATTTAAATAGAAATTCAACACATCTCACAACTTGTGTCTTAGCTCAGTCTGCTAGCCAGGTGCCACTCAGTGCTGATGGGCACCTTGAAGACCCCTCCTGTTCGTTCCTTTTAGGGTTCCTTATCTTTAAAGCAAGGACCCCTACACTGACAGCCCTTCAGTATGGAATACTGTTCTCTGTAAAGCAAGGCTGTGTAATATACATTTTATTCTAGAATCGATGTAGCCTACTTGTCCCCCTGCCCTGTACAGTCCATACACTGTCTAATTCTATTGCATATTTTTCGCTCCTTCTGGAGAAAGTGGTTTCATTCCGAAAAACAACAGTTTGTTGCAGATTGATTCTGTATTACTTGCAATGTGTCCATCTGAAGACAGATGCAGGCCTGTCCAATGATGTTGTGAGTGGGCATATACTTCCTTCTTCACTCAGCTGGGGCATGCGCAGGAACAGACGTGGTTGATAAGCTAATCAAGGTGGAAAGTTTCAAATGGTATCAAGTAACCACATCCACTCTTGTGGATGGTAGGATCTAGAACAAATCTAGATCCAAAGCAGCATGTTGAGGACGAATTATCATGGATTGAGAAAAACTACAGTTGTGGACTACATTAGTCTGTACACAGTCTGAGACCCATGATCACTCTATTCAGATGACAGAAAGTGCCCATATGCTTTTGGCAGGCTTCCCTGTTTGCAAACATCGCTCCAGCATGTGGGCAGCTGTGGGGCAGAGACACTGCAGATGTGACACGACCCTGCTCTATATTCCGCCTCCCATATGATTGTTTATCTCCATACGATCATTTATTGGGGATGCTTGAAGTAGGGTTCTCTTGACTTTTAGAACAGTTAAGAGTCAATGAATACCATGTACAGCAGAAAGGATAGAGCCTACAGCAATGTGTTACCCAGGGGTACCTGAGATGGGTGGGTTTCAGGCAACCCCTCCCCACGGGTTGAAATATTGCACCAGGAGGTTTGTGAGCCCTGCGCACTGCAGTGGCCAGTATATGAAGGTTTAAATATATGCTGGTGCATGCATGTTGATCTGTTCCATGCAAGAGGGGGAACTGATTGTGGCAGGATTCCCCACCACCACCTCCTTGCATGTAGTAGCTCTATACCCTTACATCAACACCTCCGTCTTCACACACACTGGCCAAATGTATGGATGATGATGGTGGTGGTGCATGGCTGTTGTGCATGTTGGCAAAAGAGGCAGGAAGAGTCTGCAGAGTCCCGTGAACCCCTCACGTGTTTGCTCATCGTGCGCGCTAGCATGTGTGCTTCACCACTGTGACTCACACATGGACGCAAGGGAGATGATATACTCCTCAGAGGGTGGCCAGTAAGTACACTGTTGCAGTAAAAATGAAGCTTTGAGAAATGCAAGAACAAAGTGTGCTTTCAGTGTCAAGTCAGGAGGGGGAAGAAACCCTCGTCCTTCTGTGCAACATTAGGAAATGTTGGCATTGCGTAGGCTGTGTCCTCCTGAACTCTACTTTGTTTTTTAAGCAAAATCCTTAAGTTACTTGTAGACGTGTAGGCAAAGGAGCACCCAACACAGAAAGAGTGTCTTGAAAGCTTCAGCTGCCTTGGGATCGCAGTGGTAAAAGGAAGCTTAACTCTTTCTCTCCCTGCCAGAGTCCCAACAAAAACAAAAATCCTCCCCAAAGCTGCTATTTGCATTTCAAGGGCAGCTGTGGAGGCTTCCCATTAAATACAAGTAGCAGTTTAGGAGGGGCAATTTTTCTTGAGATGGTGGCAGAAGGTGGCAGAGTAAAATCCTTGCTTAGGTTTCCCCAAGACTATTTAAATTGTTTTAAAAGTGCATACTCATTGTATCAATACAATTGGCTAGCAACTAGTTTGGCCCTTAAATGTTTCCAATGAAGTTTCACTGGCTGAGGCTGCAGTTTCCACAGGGATGAGAGTGGAGGTCTGGAGTAGGACAGGGTGCATCTCTTCCCCACAACTTTTCAATGTAGGCGGAAGAGCTTGTGCCGCTTGAATTTTCTCAGATAGTGGCTGTCAGTCGTGCCCTCTCTAAGCCCCACTTACATACTTGAGGATTACAGGACAGAAATGACACCTGTGGCATTGTGATGGTTAAAGAATAAAATATTAAATGTGTTTTCCCCCTCTGTAAAGTTTGTGCAATAAAATATGCAATGATGTCATAATGGATTGAAGAAAATAAATTTATTGAAATAAGGAACACTGACAGAAGGCAAGTTAAATATAAACAGAAGGACACAAATCTTTATACTGGGGTATAATGGCTTGTGTAACCAGCAGAGTACCAAAATGACATTCTGAGATTGATTGAGGTATTTAACTAGTTTTTGGTGATAGAAACACTCTTGTCAAAAAGACTTGCTTGCCCCCGAGAGAGACTCACATAGCTTCAATGGCATTAGGGCCTAGAACTAAAGAAGGCAGCTGTTAGAAAAATTTAACAGCAAATTAGCAGAGTATCTAATAAACATCAGCTTAAAAGTACGAGCCAAATGCAGAATTTCCCAGTTTCAAACATTTGGAAGGCAACACATCCTTGCTCTTATTTGTGGCTTAAAATATTTATATTTGTTAAAATAGCAAGTACATAAAAAACAACGTTGACTTCTGAAGCAAATCATGATTTGTTTCTGAGCTACATTTTTTTTCTTTAGAAATGCTTATGGCAGAGTCTTCCCCTCTAATTTGCTTTGCTTCTCAAAGCTTGCTTACATGATCCAAGATGCTTGGATTTTAAAATTCACAACTGTGGTCTATAACAAAACTCAGTATTTTGTTTTCATTTACATGTGGTTTCAGGCCACGTACTGCAGCTTGCTGTGATCTGCTTTCACAGAGCTCTACTCACCTGAGACAAAGGCTGTTACTGTTGGCACAGTCTTTTGGATAATATAATGTATAATCACAGCCTGGAAGGCAACCAGATGATGCAAGAAAGGGATACTTCTGGTTTACCCCATCTGTTACCTCCAGCTAATCTCCCCTCCTCTTCCCCATCCCAACTGCTAAAGGAGAATAGTAAGATACGGTAACTACCAATAACATAAGGTCCAGCAGCATCTCCTCTTTCCTGCTCAGGATGACTTCATGGCTTTCCCTGACAACTTGGGACAGAGCTTTTGAAACCCTAAATCATCAAGGAGCCACATGTAACCACGCTGCTGCTGCTTCAGTGTGATCCTAAGCAAGTTTATTCAGAAGCAAGTCCCACGGAGTTCTGTGGGGCCAGCGCTGCAATCGTGAAATACATTTTAACACATCAAACACAGTGGGACATGATTCACCCATGAGAGTCCTGCTTATTTTCTCCACTCGGCTGCGCACTAGTGTGGAGATGGCAATGCAACAGCCAGCAACCGTTTTATTGGTTGAATGTGCGACCTGTGATCAAGGAACAGCAGTAGCAGGCTCTTGAGTTCTGCCTAATTCACAGCAATGTTTCGGAATGGTACAGATTTGTACCCACAGCTCAGTGGCAGAAGGCTCCAGGTTTGATCTCTCTCATCTCCACTTTTTAAAAGAAACAATTAGGTAGTAGGTTATGCTAAAGTTCTTTACCTAAACTCCCGGAGAGCTGCTGCTACTCAAGAGT